CCTCAAAAAGGAAGTGACTTAAAATCAGAGAACATTTATAAGTTTTGTATGTGTAACCATTTATCTATAACTACATTTATACAGTTTTGTCACAAAAGACTTCCATTACTGATAGGTAAAGATGAAAATATTTCAGTTTTATCCTTTCACAAACATATTGGATATTAGTTTTCAGTCATGGAATAGCCTAATACATTCAATAGTCAATATCTGGGACAAAATAAAGCATTAGTTTGTACTTATTAATAGCTGAAGTAATTACTAGATGACTAGTAAGTAAATACTACTAGGCTAGGTTTGAAGGTAGTATTTTTAAAATATGATATCTAACAAATAAAAACCCACATAGCTGGAGCACAGTTGTCTGTGAGCAAACTATGAATAAACAAAGGTTCTTAGTAACTATCAAAATCTTCACCACCATAGTACTTTGATTTAAAATGAAATATTATAAAAAGATTTTAAATAGGGTTTATTTAATATTTTCAGCCAGCCACTGAAAATAGCTTATCTGATCTAGATGCCTAAAAATAACAAGGGTTCCTGTTTGCTCTAGAGAGTCTTGAATTACCAGTATTTAATCCAGAAAGGGCAATCACACATATGACAGAAAATTCCCAGGGCTGCCTGCAACAAAGCCCATTGTGGGAATCAGGGGGCGATCCTAAAGGTCCTGAGATGGAGCTATCACTCCAAAGCATTCTATAAAACAATATGACCTGCCAAGATAGAAATTTTAGGAATGAATACAAAAGCAAACATTATGTTGCAAAGAACCAGAATTTTGCATGTGTAGTAAAATATGATGACAGCTAACTCTTAGGAATAAATGCTGAAATTAGAATTTTCCAGCCTCATCACCTCTTTCCTGAGGCCATTTCTTCATGCTATTCTTGATTAAAAAGACACAAGTAACCACTTGCTTACTGCACTTATTAATATGCAGCTTGTGTTTGATTTTAATTTTTGCAGTCCCAATAGGAATGGAACCCAATAAGACAAGCATGGTAGGCAGACTCTCTGCCAATGAGCTACACTCCTGTCCATTTCACCTGTAACCTAGCATACATACTTTTGTCACAAAGTCTGTACTTTTTGTAATACTGCACTGAATGCTCTCTGATGACAGGGGCGTGCTATTCATTTTTATCTCTCCAGCACCTGGTACCTTGTACGACACAGTGTCTAGCAATTGACTGGCTCTATAGTGAATTCACTCCTGTTCAATCTAATGTATACAATATTACAATAAAATAAGTTTTGCAAAGTCAGTAAAATTGATGAATTTTAGTATCAACATAAAGTGATATGTATACACAAAGATCAAGAAAGCAATGGCATCTAGGTTGCCAAGATGGAGGTAGAGAAGAGAGCAGTCTTCATCACATACACACACACACACACACACACACACAGTGGGGTGGAAGGAAGAGAAGGAGAAAGAACATACACCCACAAACCAAAATACCTCACTAGCCCTAACTGTAGCAACACAGGAGACACAAAAGAGCAGGCTCTCTCCACAGAAACGGTCACCTGTGACACTGGCATATCTGTGTAGCCAAGAGATGGCTAGAAAGGGAGAAGAAAGGTAGAAGTTATCAGTATTGCCCTGCAAGACGAACCACTGTGGTCCCAAGTGGACTGCTTCAGAAGATCCTGACACCATTACCGCTGAAGTGATCAACAGCCAGTCTTCCTAGGGTGCTCCAGGGAGGGCAGGCACAGCAACACAACCTTGCTCATGAAGCAAATAACTGCTGAGGCACTGGGAAAAGGAGCCTGCCTTATCCCAAACCATGCCAGTTCCTCATCCTTGGATTAATGGCAGCCCCATGAGGGTCCATAGTCCAGACCTTGGCTCTGGAGCTGTACTGAATCCACCCACATGTCACTAACTGGGGACACCACCTCATACTGCTAGCTCACACTCAGGTGGAACTACAGTCTCTCTTTTTGTGCCTGTGCTGCCCACACTAAATAGTCTGGTGGCCATGAGGGAAAGCAAGCACTCTCAAGGCTAAATGTCTTGATGGCTACATTTTACTCAGCATACCTCAGACAACTCAGGTGCCACCACACCAAAACAGGGCTTCCATCTATACAGAGCTAGAAATCTTTCTGCACATGCCTGATCTCCAGACATGCGCTCCTGCCTCTAAGGTAAAGCACTGTTAGTAAAGCTATGCAGTGAATCCATTCTACCGTGGCAATGTACCCACCCACAACTCAGATTTAAGGCTGCCGACAGAGCAATCTGGCTCACACTGGGCTGGAAGTAGTTTCTTTCTTATTTATCTCTTATTTATTTTATATTTCTTTATTATTTTGGCAGTAGGGAAAGGATTTATTTATTAAAGAATTCATCTGTGAGTCGCTGGATAAATGGGCACAGTTGACATATATCACTTTGGGGTAGAACATGTCATTCTGCGTGGGCTGGGAAGTGTCTCTGCAAATATTGCACCATCTTCTGTGAATGAAGGATTTGGTCATATAGATTTTAGTGTTGTGGAGGAAGAAAGCAAGAACCTGGGGAAAGTGCAGGTAAACTATATCATGTGCTTAGAATGAGTCATATGCTGGACTAAGGGATATAAAAACTAGGACTAGTCAAGATTAACTGTGTGTCATCAATGAGCTCACATCCTTGTGAGAGAAAAATGCATAAATAACCACCATAACTCAATGCTATGTACTCCATCAGTTCTGCAGTTGAGACAGATTAGAATATTAAGAATGGTGTGTGGAAATCCAGGGGTACAGCTTTTATGTGGCAATATGGCCTTAAAGACCACAAACCTTTCTTTTCCCTGTACCAAAAGTCCAGGGATGGAAGAGTGTGTCTGAGCTCTGGAGTATTTTCAAGAAGTGGCTGTTAACTCTAACAATGGTTGAGTTGACACCATCAATGGAGCTGGATTCTGCCTGGAGGGTAAAGATTGCCAAATCTTAATTTAAGTCTCTGTCTTTTGAGTATGGTGTGGTGGTGAAAACCTTAATACTAGCAGGCATATCTCTATGAGATCAAGGCCAGACTGTTCTACATTGTGAGTTCCAGGACAGCCAGGGCTACATAGTGAGACTCTGACTCAAAAAAAAAAAGAGGGAAAAAAAGAGATGCCACATTTCAAAAATAGAGTTAAAAGAAAACAAAATATAACGAAAACATCTTATGAAATAATACAGCATGAACACCTTATGAAATAATATATAATAAACACCTTACCTTCAAATAGGAGCCATAGTATTTGGTTACATATGAGCTGTCGCACTGACTCAGAACAGTTATTTCTTGTTGAATGTCTTCTATTTCATCTTCAGCTTCCTCAAGGTCAATGATTTTAATTGCAACCACTTGCTGGGTACGATTATCGATTCCTTTGAAAACTTCTCCAAAGGAGCCTTTTCCAATGCGCTCTAATTTTGTGAACAGTTCTTCTGGGTCAGCTACATTATTCTAAGGGGAAGAAAGAAGAGAGTAAACACACAAATGCTTTGAATCAATTTTCCTTTAGGTTTCTTTTTATTTTATGTGTATTTATTTTTATTTACCGGCATGTATGTAAGTACACCACAAATGTGCTTGGTACCTATGGAAGCTCAAAGAGAGCATTGGATTCCCCACAACTGACGTTACACACAGTTGTTACCTGGGTCTTCAGCAAAAACAGCCAGTGCTCTTAACCACTGAGCCATCTCTCCGGACCCACAAGTCAAACTTTTTAAATAGAGGAAAACAAATCAGATTAAAGTTATAGAATACTTCATGTAAATTTTCATTTTTATCCCACCCAATATATATCAAATGTTGCTAAGGATGTAGAGGAAAGGGAATTGTTATATAGGATTAATAGGAATGTGAATTAGTATAACCACTATAGAGAATAATAGTAGGAAGTCTTCAGAAAACCAAACTAGATCTAGCATTTGATCCAGATATCACACACTCGAGTTTATCTTTTGAGGAAATGAAGTAACCATGTCAGAGATATGTGCACCCTAATGCCTGTTCACAATAGCTAGGCACTATTCACAATAACTAACATAAGGAATTAGTTTAGGTACCATACAGAGATGGCTAGATAAGAAAAATATGATGTATACACACGTATACACAAATAGGATAATAGCTATCAAAAGAATGGTATACTATCCTTTACAGCAAAATGAATGGAAGTAGAGGGTATTATAAAAAGTAAGACATGCAAAAGACAAATTCTACATATCTTTTTACATAAATATGCTTTAAGAAGGCAATTGGAATGTATAATAATGATTACTAAAGGCTGGCAAGAGTGGGGGAGGAGCACTTGGGGGAGGCTGGATGGCAGGTAGCCAAACACAGCAGAGAGACGTTTATAAGTTCAAGTGTGTGAGTTGGGGGGGGTACAGTTCATAATAAGCTAATATATTTTATGAATAACACAAGGTAATGATAAAGATATAGGAATGTTAATCATCCTGATATGCTCTGTACATTTAGTACACACACGGAAATAGTATATCATTCCACATAAATGTATACTACCTTTATATGTCTTTAATTTTTTATGTTTAAGGAGGTATCAATTTTAACTACCCCAGGTTGATTGTTACACACTGTTGTGTGTGTACCAAATTATCACACAACACCCCATCATGTGTATAATGTCAATAATTTTAAAGAAAAATATAAAATTTTTTTTCAAGTTATCTTACAGAAGGGAACTAGAATACAATCTAGAATTAAGCATAAATATGTACATTGGCTGAGCTCAAATGTATAAATTACTGACCTTTCTTGATACAGAGACAGCATTTGCCTTAAAAGATGCAAAATTGATCTCATGAGACAACCTTTTTATATTCTTATTGCTATTGCTAAAGAGACACTGCGGATCAAGTTGAAAATGAAGATTTTCAAACCTTCCAAACAGAACATCATTAAAGCATACTCAAGGGACCTGTTAGTCTAAAACTTTACTTTGAGCTTCTTCAAAACCTAAAAGGATGCTATGTGGTACTAGTCACTCAATCAAATTTGCCCACTAAACCTAAAGCATCTGTTCATTTACTATAATTTCCCCACGTTTCATCTCAACACGGATTTCAGGAGACAATTTGTGTTTCACTTCATTAGCCAAAGAAGCCGCAGAAGTTTTCACATCAAGTTCTTTGTCTTGCACTGTAATTGAAGAATGTCATTCACAAATTTCTCTTTCTCATCTTACCTGAAATAAAGTTAGCACATGATCTAGTCACCTTCCAAGCCTCGCATATTCTCCTCCATGTGGTTTAGTTTTCTTTCCTCAGAGCACACTTTCCATTTCAGAGTCTTTTTCTCTATTTCAAGATTCGTGTACATCAATACCCACCTTCAGTCACCATCTCCTATGTGCATATCTAGACGCAGACAATACACCTGGAAATTCCCATAGGGCTTCCCAAAGTAGCTGCAACAGGCTTCCAGAAGGTTATAAGTGACTCTCCAAAGCTCACATTTTGTCAGTATTTTTGTTCAACAATTCAATTACCAGCATTACAGATGTTATGGAGTGCCCTTGATTTCTTTTGTTCTCAGTTTGGTTTTGTTTGTGGTTGTTCCCAATTCATTGCCCAGGCTGCCCTAGAACTTGTGATCCGGTGCCTTGGACCTCTTAAGTACTGGAAATTACAGGTGTGAACAACCAGGCACAGCTCCTTTGGCATAGCCTTTTACCAACAATTTACTGTGATTACTGTCATATATATGGCAGCTAACCCACAATTACTTCTTCCTAGTTTGTGTGATAATTTTTCTCATTTTAGTAACTGTGGTGAAAATAGTCATGAAATAATCTGGCGATGACTTCACCCCACTATACCTTCCTAAATTTAGAGAGGACTTTAAAAAAATTCAATGTTAAGTTTTTGCTTTCTTTCTTTTAGGTGTATATGTGTACATATATGTGGATGGGTGTGCGTGTTCACATTTGAGTACAGATACCTGTGTGTGTGTATTTGCATGGGGAGGCTAAAGGTCAGCCTTGGGTATCATTGTTCAGCAGCTGCCCAACTTGTTTTATGTTTTTAAATTTAAAATAATAATAATAAAAATGGTGGCACAAGTGCCACAGTGCAAGTGTGTCAGACAACTTTTGTGGAGTAGTCTCTCTTTTCATTTTTATGTGACTTCCAAGAACTGGGGTGAGGTCACCAGGCTTATGTGGCAAGGATCTTACATTGTTGAGCCATCTCACTGGTCTCTACCTTGTATTTTTAAGACATGGTCTCTTGGCTGGGTGTTGCAGCACACTCCTTTAATCCCAGCACTCAGGAGGCAGAGGCAGGAGGATCTCTGTGAGTTCGAGGCCAGCCTGGTCTACAAAGTGAGCTCCAGGACAGCCAAGGATATACAGAGAAACCCTGTCTCAGAAAACCAAAACAACAACAAAAACCCCATGGTTTCTCACTGGAACATGAGGCTCACCTAGTAGGCTAGGCAGTCTGGCCATCAGAGTCCCAATGAATTGTCTGTCTTATCTCCACCTCCCCAGCACAAGGATTACAAGCTTGCATACAATGCGCCGGGTTTTTACCTGGGTTCTGGGGATCAAATTCAGGTCTCATGTTTGCATAGTAAACAGTTCACTTTAATGATGCTATCTTCCCAGCCCTTCAGGATTTTTTGATATACCCACAAAAAATCTGAACTTTGGAAATACAGACTTGATTAACAATGCATGTTGGATGTATCATCTAATAATAAAGTCAGAGGAGTATACTATTAGTTAACTTACTAATAAGAATCTAATAAGAAACAGAAATTAAATTCTACTCTTCTTAATTGGTGTTTTAAAAGGCTTTAAGTGAAGCTATCAACCCTAGGGAGGACACAGCTGTTCACTGCTTTCTGTAATAAATGGGCTCCTGCAAATATGTAAATCATACATTTAAAACCCAAGTCACATTTCACATTTTAAGGAAGCTATGAAGTGAATCCTAACTTAGCAATATAGTTTAAGCATTTCAATTGAGTAACAGCAAGTTGGAGACAGAAAAGCAGACAGAACCATCATTTACAGAGTATTTATACTTCAACTCTAATCCTGGGCTTAAAACTTCTGCAAAACGTCGACTTTCAGAGTAGAAGAAATCTGAAACCAAGGGTTTTTTTCTCCTGTAACCTTATTCTCCTAACTATCTGAAGGGTAGAGACCTTTGTTCACTGCCAGCTCCTGAATCCCTGATAAATAACACCCAATTTCTAATTTTCTTTTTAATATCTTACACCAAAGCATCCAAAGATGGATTTCCTTCTTGATTCTTTGCTTGGCTCTGTTTGTGTCTATCATCATTGTCTCTTTGTCTTTTTTTGCTCTTTCTTTCATGGAAGCTATTCCCTATCATCATTTTCTCTTTTGTTTCTTTCTTAGAGTTTGCCATGTTTCCATGACCAGGATGAGAATCTCTGTTTCCCAAGATGTCCTCCATCTTACAGGATCATCTTGCTTCAGCCTGCTGGGTGGTGAGGCTGTGGAAGTATGCTATCATATCCAAGAAAGAGTTGGATAGCATACTTCCACAGTCGCAACACTTTCTTGTCTTTGGAATAAAGGCAAAGTCAAACAAATATATGGCAAATATTTAAAGCAATGCAATGAAAACCCACCTTCCCAAGGTCATGTGGAAAAAGGTTTTTGAATTCTCAAACTATAGGGACAGAGTGCTAGTAGAAGTTTGAAAGGTTCTTGGAACATGCTCCAATCTTGGCTACGCATCATGATCATCTGTACAGCCTTAAGACCTGAAGACCTGAAGACATCTAGTACACACCCAGAACTTCTGATTCAAAATGCCTGAGATTGGGACTTTGCAATTATATATACATATTATCCTAAATTAGGATATATATATATCCTAAATAATTCTTGAAAGACATGACTGAATCAAGATGAGAATTTGGGAACTACTTAGCACAAAGAAGTGAAATTTGCATTGTTAGGCACAGAGAACTCATTGCCCCAGACAAGCAAATAGGTCTCCTCTACTTATCATACTTCAGTGAACAACTTGGAGATCAAAACAAAAACCGAGAGGGTTTCTGTTTAGCTAAACGGTAGCGAAGTTTTCTAGTATATGTGGACTGGGGCTGGATTTTCACTGTCATAATAAAACAAAAACAAAAGCAAGAGCACTGTGTTGCTTGTAGGCATGGACTTATACTTCCAAAGTAAAGTCTGAAACACTTCTAAGGGCACATCGCAAAAATCAGTACTTTTTCCTCAAGACTACCAACATTCAAGAATTTGTCCAGCACAGGCCATCATTTTTCAGTAATTCTTCTTAAACATCATTTTTATCCAGTATTGTCTCTGGGATACATTATAGTTTGAAATGTAACTGATGATAGTATTCATGTTAAAATCCAACAATGATGAAAAAGAAAAGTCTTGATCTAGGCAGCAGCAGAAAATAGCTTCAGGTTGTTAAAGAGGATCACTGAGAATGGATGCAGGAAAAAAAAGCTGTAGAGAAAGTTAGAAATATACTTTGGACCCTAGCAGAACAGACATCTGGAAAGGCAAAAAGAAAAAAGAAAGAAAGAAAAAGAAAAATTCAAATATTATCTGTTTTCTTTGAATATGAGGTAGCTAAGTAAGATCAGCACTGTGTGACAAAGAGTGAAACCAGTAAGATGTTCAAGTAAAGAAGGTAGATTTCTCAGAGTGTTAAATGTTTTCTCTGTGAACACTGTGAAAGAAAAAGGGTTGCAGTGCATTTCCTATACAAGATACTGATACAACCAGTTGAAAATGAACGGGCATAAGGCTCACAGTATGCTGCGTTCAAGATCACAGGATACCATCTTTCACAAGGACTGGACACATGCAAGTACAACTGTCTCCTGCTTCAGTTCCAGGCCTTTTGAACCGGCAGGAAATGCAAAGGTCACAAGACCTCACCTCTTATCGCTGCTGCTATCTACACTCTGGATGTGTCCTGAACTACTATCACTGAACACAACCAGTGACATCTGAGGCATGGCAGAGATGGCAGAGATAGTGGGAGGCCAAGGAACATTCAAAATCCTGAGATTAAAAGAACTAGAGGACCTCTGAGATAAATAGGAAGTTGGCAAGACATCTTAGCCAAAACCTTTCTGTAACAGAGCAAACCGCAGCCTAGACAGATGATAAATTGTTAGGTATACAAGATATGTTGCTAGTGACAAAGGTCAATCTGAAATCCAGAGTTCCTGATTCTTATGTCCAAAGTTTCCTTTCTACAGCTTGAGTTTATCTGCAATTTAAATGATATTCCCATTTTGCCATAAAACCAGAAATTATTTCCACTATAAATAGATCAAACAAGTGCCCAATGTCAACTTTATAATAGCTCATAATTTTTTTTCAAGACAGGGCTTCTCTGTGTAACAGCTCTGGCTGTCCTGGAACTCACTTTGTAGACCAGGCTGACCTCAAACTCACTGAGACCCTCCTGCCTCTGTCTCCCAAGTGCTGGGATTAAAGGCGTCCACCCCCACAGCCCAGCTATAGCTCATCATTTAAAGAAATTTTAGAAAATTCAAGAAAAGTGTTTTCAAATTTTAACACAGGAATTTCCAATTATAATTTATTTTAAATCAATTGATAAAATTCCATGTTTATCATGTATTTATAGTGTTTTGAAGTATGTATGCTTTAAAATGATTACATGTATACAATGAACATGTATCACCTCACATGGCTACAATTTCTGTGCTGAGAACATTTAATGTCTACTCAGCATTTTTCAAGTCTACAAATACAGCTATTAACTATAGTCAAGACATTGGATAATAGATCTCATAAATTTATTCCTCATAAGTAACTAAAATTTTGTATCCTTTTAGCAACTACTTTCACTGCATTGCAAAGCCTAGAGGACATTAGTGAAATAAGCTAAGAACAGAAAGACAAAAATAAGTCATTCATTGTGGAACTTTAAAAAAAAAATGATCTCCCAGAATCAGTGTGTAGATGGATGGTTACTAGAGACCAGGACGGTTGGTGATGGTAGAGGTCGGTATTAAGGAGATATTGCTAATAATATAATTTCTTATAAAAATCTCTGAACCAATCTGTAGTAGCCTGACTCCTGAACATATATGCAGCTACCATGTACTTTGATTTAGAAACTTTTTTTAAAAAAGTGATGATCCTATAATCTTGAGTTTCTGTCAAGGTTACTGCACTTGGTTGCTTTTTTTTTCCCATGGCAATAATGAGGCTGGAAGCAGCTAACCTCCAGAATGTGGAAGGCAGAGTAGTGATAGTCTATCTCATGATTCCCATAGGTTCCAGTGTCAGCATGCCAACAGCTCCAGTCAGTGATTTATTGTAGATGTTAGCTCAGTTCATAAACAATCCCCTCCAACTGATGAACTGATCCAAGATTAAAATATTTATTATCAATTATTAAGCTTGTGCTAAGTCCTGTGTAGGTCTAGAGTGGTTCAAATGACTGAGTTTTCAGATTACTTCACTAATGAGAAGGATTAAACAAACTGTCCATAAATTTTGCTAAACTCTTGAAGAATGTGTTTCCAGTGGAACATTTCTCTACTGTGCACAACTCAGGATCATATTACAAGGATCTGATAACATTTTATGGAAACCTTAAGAGACTTCTTTGATTTATATTTTTGAAGTAAAATACTTATCCTGACTATATTTTATGTATGACAGAATAATAACTGAGATCAAAATTAAGTATGTTTCTAATTAAACATAAGGAATTTGGCTTGAGGTCAGATTCCTTTAGGTGGCCAGTTGCTTAAGTTTTTCTTTCCACGTTTATAAGACTTCAAAATATTTATGTAGGTATATAAAGAAAATGTTCTTAGTTTATCTATTTTTATAGTGTACTTACATTTTTATGTCTCTCTCAAAGGTTATTAAACTTGCCTCTGCAAAATAAAGCAGGGCTCCGATTGCCATCTTTCACGGCTGTGCAATGAGATAAATGGAATGTAGTCAGAAAAGCAGTTACAACTCCGAGGTTCCCCGTGGTCATTAGAAAGCATTTAATCACTCACAGTCCAGTCTGTTTCTTTGTGCACCCACTTAAAAGGCAGTTTAGAGATGGATGAGGCCAGCACAGGAACCCTGGTCTTAGTGGCAAAGCATGGAGTCAAAGGTCTTCAGCAGCATTGTTTTCTACTCCTAAGGCAAGCATTAACTTTCAGCAAGTCTGTGCTTAGCAACAAGAAAAATGTGTTCATAAAGCAGAAATACAATTAAATTCTTAAGTACATTTTCATCTTCCTTTTATTTTATTATTCCTATTTTTAAGAGCATCTCATTAGCAAAACTAGTGAGAGTGTAAATATATCGGTAAAGGATAACTTCATTAAAATGATTACAAAAGGTTTTGATGGAGTTGCCTGCATAACAGCAGTTTGAGGAGTTTCCCATGATTAGTAATTCTAAGTCTACTTTATCTTTTAAGAACAAAAGAATAATTGATAATATTTCTTCATCTTAATTCCGCCTACTCAAGAGAGGATAGCAGAGAGAAGAGCTCCCTCTGCCCGTAACTTGCATTCTGCACCTCCCCCAGGGGCTCAGATCACAAAAAAAGAAAAT